AGATTGAGGTTATATCCTCTGAAAAGGGTCTGCAGCGCAAATATTGTTTCTTGCACTGGCTTTAGAATAGGATTTAGGGAAATCAGAACCAGGAAGGTGAGGAATAGGGTCAGAGCATCAGAGGAATGCCCAGGGAGCTTGGGAAAACAAGGAAATAGGTGGTAAGGTTGACATCTTCTCTGGAAACCAAGGAGCTGGGGTTCCACCTGGTGGGACAGCCCTCTCACCTGTATGACCTGAATCCTAGTGAACCCAGACCCTTCCTCAGGAGATTGGTCAGTAACACCAATGTAAAGTATACTCAAGGTGATACTGTGCCCAAATCCAGGAGCTGACAGGTATGGTTCATAGTTCAGAGGGATCATGAGACAAGGGACTACAGTTCTTTTCTTTTGGAATACTTAGAAAAATTTTCCTAGAGTAGTAATTTTCTGCTTTACCTAATTGTTGTTTTCTTATTTTTATGGCTATAGGACATAACATGAAAACAAAAAATATTATATATATATATATATATATGATGCTTCCTTCTGAGTATTTCTTTTTAAGTTAACAAACTTCTAATTTCAAAGGCTACCAAAAGAATAAATTAGGTAAATGGGTTTTTTGTTTTTTGCTTTTGGCTGTGCTGGGTCTCCGTTGCTGCGTGCGGGCTTTCTCTAGTTGCGGCGAGCAGAGGCTACTCTTTTCTGTGGTGCACAGGCTCTAGATGCGTGGGCTTCAGTAGTTGTGGCACACGGGCTCAGCAGTTGCAGCTCACAGGCTATAGAGCACAGGCTCAGTAGTTTTGACGCACAGGCTTAGTTGCTCTGCGGCATGTGGGATCTTCCCGGACCAGGGCTTGAACCCGTGTCCTTTGCATTGGCAGGCGGATTCTTAACCACTGCACCACCAGGGAAGCCCAAATTAGGTAAATGTTTTACGTAATATATAGAGTGCTAAAGTGAAGTGGTATATTTTAGGATAGTATTTTAGTTTTTTGGTTTTTTTTTTTTCGGTACGCGGGCCTCTCACTGTTGTGGCCTCTCCCATTGCGGAGCACAGGCTCCAGATGCGCAGGCTCACTGGCCGTGACTCACGGGCCCAGCTGCTCCGTGGCATGTGGGATCTTCCCAGACCGGGGCACGAACCTGCGTCCCCTGCATCGGCAGGCAGACTCTCAACCACTGTGCCACCAGGGAATCCAGTATTTTAGTTTTTAATCTTCAACTATTCTACAATAATGGTTAAAGGATATCTTCTATAATACTGGTTAGAGAATAGATTTTTTAAAAAAATATATTTATTTATTTGGCTGCGTTGGGTCTTCGTTGCTGCACGCAGGCTTTCTCTAGTTGCGGTGCACGGGCTTTCTCTAGTTGCGGTGAGCAGGGGCTTCTCGTTGTGGTGGCTTCCCTTGTTGCAGTGGCTTCTCTTGTTGCAGAGCACAGGCTCTAGGTGCACGGGCTCAGCAGCTGTGGCACACGGGCTTAATTGCTCCACAGCACATGGGATCTTCCCGGACCAGGGCTCGAACCCGTGTCCCCTGCATTGGCAGGCAGATTCTTAACCACTGCACCACCAGGGAAGTCCAAATTAGGTAAATGTTTTATGTAATATATCTAGTGTTATAGTGAAGTGGTATATTTTAGGATAGTATTTTAGTTTTTAATCTTCAACTATTCTACAATAATGGTTAAAGGATATCTTCTATAATACTGGTTAAAGAATATCTTATTTTTTACGTGTATACGTATAACTGAATCACTTTGCTGTTCACCTGAAACTAACACACTGTTAATCAACTATAGTCCAATATAAAATAAAAATTAAAAAAAGAATATCTTATTTTTATAAAAAGGTTCCTATTTTACAGAAGATGGGATCTAGGAGGAACTTGAGGGGTCAATCTTATTAGCCCCCCTTGAACCCGGAATGTCAGCAGTGTTAACTGGACTCTTGCCTCTTCCCTCTGACCAAATCCCTGACTTTGGTGTACCTTACCAAGGCCTTATAGGACCAGGAGACAGTTTGCACTTGAAAGTTAAACATCCAGCTGGCTAGAGCCAGCAGGAAGGCAAAGCTGGGGTCCTGTCTCAGGATGGAGGAGGTCAGGAGGTTCCTGGAACAGCCAACAAGATCAGAAATTGTGAGGGAGAACCAAAGGCAAGGGGTCAGAAGGACCACAGGAGCAGTACCTGAGAAAGCATGAGAGGAGGTGCAAGCCACCAAATTTAACTCTGGCAGACCCAGTCTTCCTGGCCTAGAGTTCCTTGGAGAATGAGGAGTGAGCCTTCTAGAGCACACTTCGGCATTTCAAAACCAAAGAACAAAACTAAAGCCCTTTTTCCTTTGGAAAATTCCAGAACACATACAAAAGTAGAGACAGTAGTATAACGAACCTCCATGTACCCATCACTTAACTTCAACAATTATCAACATTTTTCCAGTATTTTTTCATCTGTCTCCACCTTCCCACCCCCCACTCTCACTCTGCCACCTTTTAAATTTCTTGGAGTATTTTAAAGCAAAGCTAGCCATCATGTCAGTTCACTCATAAACACTTCTCAGTATGTATCACTAACAGACAAGGGCTTTTAAAAACACAATGATACCACTATCACATCTATTAAAATGTGTCCCCTGCATTAGCGGTTTTCTGCTGCTATCTCACGAATATCTTTGTGAAGTGGGTGTGTTCAAGCCAGGAGCTACACACAATGCGTCTGCTTGATTTGTCTCAAGTCTCTAACCTCTGAGTCTAGAACGGCTCTTCCTCTCCTCTCCCTCCCCTTCCTTGTGCCAATTGTTATGGATTAGAATTTCTCACGTTCCGGATTTTTATCATGGTCAACTTAATATGGTTCTTTATCCTGTCAGCTGGTCGTGTGGTCTAGAAGCTTGCTTTAAGAACAGGTGGTTCAGGTGAGAACACCTCACGTACAGTGCCCCGTTCCCTCCTGCATCCCGTCAGGGGCATGTCTCACCTTTCGTGCGGTTGAGGCAGACGAGGGGGCTCTGGTGTTGGTCATTAACGGGTTCCTATGAGCCTTGAACTTACAGGTTTTGGCAGCCATTGTAATTGCCTGGATTCCTTATTTTATTCAGGGATGCAAAATGTAATTTTCTGCAGGTGTGTCTTCTCTTGCTTTTAATAGCTTACATTCTTCCATGAAGACCTCTCCCTCATCAATTATTTGGTTTCTCTGAGATACGGTTTGTACAAGAAAGTCTGCAGCACGTGCTAAAAGCGACACAGTGTGTCTGAGCGCTTCCGTTTGTGTCCTTTTCCTCACTCCAGCTTCCCACCCGGGGAAGATCAAGGTCCACTCCCATCCTTTTTATGCCTGAAGCACTGAAACTGGTGATGGAGCCAGAGCTTACTGCGTGCCCTCCTCTCATCCACCAACAGTCCGGTCACCGTCCTCTGTGCTTCTCCCACCAGGACGCCATCGGTTCCTCCTCTGATCTCCTCTGACGGATGCTTGTCACTGTATATCTCTTTTTAAAAAATGTTCCCTTTAGTCCTCGTAAATAATTACCTATATATTGCATCTACTTTTCTAGATTCCTTGGAAGCAGGACTCATGTTATTTTTTTAATAAATTTATTTTATTTTTGGCTGCATTGGGTCTTCTTTGCTGCGCGTGGGCTTTCTCTACTGCTGCGTGGTGAGCGGGGGCTACTCTTCATTGAGGTGGCTTCTCTTGTTGCGGAGCATGGGCTCCAAGCGTGTGGGCTTCAGTAGTTGTGGCTCACGGGCTCTAGCGCGCAGGGTCAGCAGCTGTGACTCACGGGCTCTAGAATGCAGGCTCAGCAGCTGTGGTGCAAGGGGCTTAGTTGCTCCGTGGCACGTGAGATCTTCCCGGACCAGGGTTCGAACCCGTGTCCCCTGCATTGGCAGGCGGATTCCCAACCACTGCGCCACCAGGGAAGCCCAGAGCTCATTTTAATCTTTCTATCTTCATAGTGACTAGCCCTGCTTAACCTTTCGTGGGAAGTCAACAATTACTTATTTAATGAAAAAAATGAACAAATTAGAAAAGAAGAAACCTTTAAGCCCTCACCACGTTGGACTTTTTTTTCTCTCTTAAAGATGAATGGGTATGTAATGAATTTAGTACAGAATGCCGATTTTAATGAATCATTAATTATTAATTAATTTTAATTATTTATTTAGTTTGCCAGACTGCTCGGCTCGCAGGATCTTCGTTCCCCGACCAGGGATTGAACCCGAGTCCTTGGCAGTGAAAGCACTGAGTCCCAACCACTGGTCTGCCAGGGAATTCCCTGATTTTTAATAATTCAGAAATATGATAGACTTCTCTATTTAAAAATAAATTATGTTAACCACTTTTTAATTAAGGTGGGATCCAAATGGGCTGTAACTCTCTAGATACCAAGATATTTTTATGTTCTTCCCACGTATTTTTCCTGTTTTATCTGCCTTTATCTGAAATTTTCCAGCTTTATTGAGATATAGTTGATATAACACTGTGTAAGTTTAAGGTATACAACGTGTTGATTTGATACACTTATATATTGCAAAATGATTACCACTATAGCTTAGCTAACACCTCCATCCCCTCACATAATTACCATTTTCCTTGTGATGCCTTTATCTTTAGATGCCATCTAAAGTATGAGTGCCATTTTCCAAAGCACATCCCTTAATCATGATTGCTGTAGATACCTGCTGCTATAAGAATAGTGGTAGCACATACAACAATATAAATGTGCTCCATGCACTATGAAAAACTGCACATATTTGAAAATTTCTGCATTTTGAAAGAAAAAAAAATCTGATTAAACAGAAATCAGGTGGGACAATATTTAAAATTTCAAAACCTGAAAATGCAAACTTCAATTGTATATTTTTGTGGGTGAATAATGCTGCTACTATGCCAGTGTGTGACCATTTCAATGAGCAAAATTTTTGAAGGTTGATAATTTCCTGAACTTGTTAATAAAATGGTGTTGTATATAAAAATGCTAGCAAAGCAACAAAAGGTGTTTCTTACCAAGAAATCAAGCTCTTCATTTAGGTGGTGGTACTGATCCAGTTTGGCTCCCAGTAAGACAGGTACCTCTCCGGCATTCTTGGCTTCATTTGAATCCAAGTCTGTAACCTGAGATGAAACATATTTGTACTCACTTCCAGTATGTTCACACTCCTTGGAACATTTGACAATGAGTATGTTATTAGTTTAACCATCAGAGAGATCTCCAGTGGTTTCAATAACAGATGTGTAGAACTTGGAGTCAGAATGACTTCAATGTTAAGTATCTAAAATTGTATTTTTGTATGTTAAAGACAGTACATAGTGAATGTTTAACTCACCTCTGTAACCTGATCTTGAAATGATTTTTCATTAGCAATTAACTCTCTGAAAGCTGTGATTCTGTCTTTATGTTTCAGTAGCTAAGGAAAAAAGCATTTTCTATTTCAGAGAAGGAGAGGAAATAAAACTACATTCCGTAACATTTATAATAAAGTCACCAAACCATGCACAGTCCAATCCCTGGTCTCCAAAGGTGTCGTTTTTAAAGCTCTTGTGTAGCAGAGAGTTCACACAGCAGGCCTGAGACTGCTGTCCTTAGAAAGGCCTGCTCGCCAGACTGCCCTCTGACTGGCATCTAGGAACTTGGATTGTGGGAGGGTTTCCATCATTTCCTGATATGAAGGCTCACTGTGCCTAACCTATTTGTACAAAGAACATTTATACTGAACACCCCTTTCCTTCGGGAGGGTCTGGAATTTTGGTACGTGGCAGGCAGAGGGCACCTACCCAACCAGCCTCCAATCAAAACCCTGGACACTCAGTCTCCAATAAGCATCCCCGGGAACATTTCATGCATGCTGCACAGGTCACTGCTGGCGAAAGGAAGTGCACCCTGTGTGACTCACTGGGAAAGGACTCTTGGAAGCTTGGATCTGGTTTCCTCTGGACTTCGCCCTACGTGCTTTTTCCCTTTACTGATTTTGCTCTGTATCCTCTCACGGTGATAATACATCATAGCTATGAGAACAACTATGTGCTGAGTCCTGTGAGTCCAGTAAATCATTAAACCTGAGCGTGGGCTTGGGATCTCCAGAGAGCTTATCCTAATATTCAATTGTTTTTACAGCCAGGCTATTAAAATTCTTCTTTAAAGAAAAAAAATTAGCCAACTTTTTCTAGATGCAATTTATAGTCATTTCTTCTTTGTTCATTTGTTTGTTTCATGTAATAACAATAAATTGTAACATTCAATATTCTAACTCCTCCAAATATTAGTGAGGGCTGCACAGAATATTTTTGTTTTTACTATGAACACTTTCCAAAAAAGAGGAAAAACTTTAATGGATGCCCATGTAACTATTATCCAGTTTCAACTACTAACAGTTAACGGTCAGCCTTGTATCGTTAATACCCCAGCCACTTCCTCCTCCCTGGAACTCCCTTCACTGAATCAAATTACACGCATCATATTATTTCATCTGCCAGTATTACAGGAATGACACAGAAATTTACCAAGAGAACATAAATATCTGAAATGGTATTTTTGTAACATCCTGCTCGAATCCTCAACTGGGCTTATTTCTGAAGACTAGTTTAAGAAGTGGAGGCCAGTAATTTCTCTGCATGTCTGTTTATTCCTTAGTCCTTTTCTCTAGAGGTTAGCTAAGAGACAGAGATTCCGCAGAATACCTGCAACAAATTTTCTAGCCACCTCAGTTCAGAGAAGTCATTTCCTGATAATGCAGCACTGAAATTGAATCCCAGATTTAAATACGTTTTTATTCCTTTAGCCAGATAAATTAGTCACTTCTGTATTCCTTTCAGATTAAAAGCACACACCTTCACGTCCTGCTACCACTTTCTCTGTATAACTGACTCTCTTCATTCTCTCTCTCCATCTCTGCACCACTACATCAAGAAAAGAATGATTGAAGAAATTCCAAGAGCCTCTTCCCTTACCTTTGTCCCACTTGAGAAATAAAATTTGTTTCCAATGTATTCATTATTCCAAGTGATAAAGTCTGTAATCACTATAGAAATGTCAAAATACTCTCTTCTTCAGGAATCAGTAGTACCATACAAAAGTGAAAAAATAATCATACCAGTTTTTTGGTAGATGAATGAGATTTTCTAATACACACTTACGTTATAAAACAAGTCAAATGTTGAACAGTGTATCTCCTTAGTGAGGGCCAAAGTAAAGCTAATCTTGTCCCCAAAAATAATTTTTAAAAAATCCAAAATTTTAGGAGCCTCTGTATACTTTTACATGACCTTTTTCTTTGTCTTTTTTTCACTAAAAATGATACAATTTTTAGAATGAAGAATACATACAGTACCTCTTTATCTAATTTTCTCTTTTTAAGATGAAAACTCTTCAATTTTTGTAGCGTGATACCATTAACTTTCTCACTCTCTTTGAAATGTCTGGCATCGGGATTGGTGATGTCCTAAGGGTGACATTTTGAGAAGCTATATTAAAAAGTTATCGGTAAAGCTAAAAGGAGGAAGGAAAGAACACAAATGAAATAAATCTCCCTTCCAAAATAAGTGGCTGAACAAAAGGAAATAGAATCATATTGAGCTCAATTCTTCAGTTACTCGTCATAAGCCATCTAATAAAGGGTTAATGTGGAAAGAATTCATATAGATTCACACTTATATGTAAATCGTCATCAGGACAGATTAGTATAATCACTGGGAAGTTAATAACTACACGTGCTTATACACTTATACGTACATCTGCTCTTAGCCTAGTCAGTTTACAAATCCAAACTTTAGACAAATTGTTATACCTGACACCGGAACAATCAGACATCCTCAACAATACTGAAACTCTAGATATTTCAGTGGCACCCACATTCCACAAGAATGAAGATACTTGTGCCAATATAACCCAAGGGTCAAAAGTGCGTGCATTACAGTCAGACTACTTGGGTTTGTATCTGAGCTGTCTGTCACTTGACCATCTGAGTTCTGTCACTTAACCACTTGACTTTGGACAAGAAACTCAGTAATTCTGAGCCTCGGTTTGTTTTTCCATGTTAGAAAAAAAAAAGTCTGATAATGTAAAAAATGGTGTAAGAATTGAATGAGATAACCCATGAAAAGCAGGGTCAACTTAAATGCCTCCAAGGACAGGTTGGGAAGTCAGCAAATAGTTTTTGAGTGCCTGGTAAGGGCTTACCCTGCATTAGGCAGAGGGCCTCTGACATATCGAGTCTCTGATCTTGAAGGCTTAAGCAAACAGATATTTGTTTGGCCTGGGATGAGATCTACTAAGAAGAGGGCTGATGACTCACTCCCTGACTGAGAGGTCTTGTAGAGAAGCAGCAGCCAGCAAATAAGCCTGAGAAAGAACAGCAGCCTCCAGTGAGACGAGAAAAGCCAAGCAAATATGATAAGAAAGCAGATGTCTGAAGGGGCAAGGTGGGGTGGAAAAGGTTACAGCAGAGAGTTTGTGCCATACTCAAATTCAAATATTAAAGACAAAACTTCAGGCGGATACAGTCTATGGGCCACCACTTTGTGATCACTGCTAAAAATGCTTAGCTTGGTTTCCAGCATTCAATAAATGCTAGTGCGCAGCAAATTTTAGCTAAAAGAAAGTAGGAATAAAGGTTGTGTTGGACCAGGAACATCGCAAACTCATGTCCCCAAATTTTGGCTCAGAGGAGTGCACTGAAGCTCAAAGAAATGTACAACGATCAGAGGGAAGAGGAAGAAACACAGCTCAATAACTGAGAAGCTATCAAGCGTCATATATGCCCTTAAAAGGTTCTCTCATTCAAATACAGTGTTTGCAACCTCCCAGGGCAGCAGCAAATATCATTTCAGCTAAGGCTGAGAAAGGAAAATTTACTTGGCCAGGTCACACAGCAGTGAGGAGGTGAAGCCATGCCTTCAATTCACCAGACACTAACTTCATTTTTCATTCTACTAATTAATGTACACAGCTCTGGACTGCCCGACCCCTGCCCCAAAGCTGTATTTTTAGATCGGGTAAACAGCTCATTTGTGTGAACAATCTCTCATCACAGGCTGCCCTGAAGCACAAGACTATTACTCTGAGGGAGTTTTCCTGAAATGTGGAAAGCACTGAGGGAAGGGTTTTGCCTCAAGTTTTTATTTTTTTAATCTTATCATCTTACTATAGATTTGTGAGAATTAGGTGTTGAAGAAAGAAGCAGTGGGAAGAAGGAAGGGCTGATTGGTTGGTTTAAGGATCTGTATTTTTACTTCCATTTTTTTTCTTTCACAACTTAATTGTCCAACCTTGATATTTCTTCTCCCAGTAAAAAATATGATTTTTTATAATTACCTGGCACATGAGAAGTCGTACCATCAGAGCCAGAAGACTGCGAATTTTGGAAGTCAGCTGTGAAGTTCTTTTCACGTCTGGGGGATTCGGGCTCTCTCCTTCACAAGGTGAGTGATTCAGGAACAAATTAGAATGTATCATCTTTGCATCCTACATGTACACAATTCAGATTTGTCACAATAAAGACAAAGAAGCTGGATTACTTTTTAGGTAAAATGCTGAATAAAATACCACTCTTAAAAACTCAGAGCAGTGGGGTTCTCAAACTTTTTGATTCTCAGGATGCCTTCATACTCTTAAAAATTATTGAGGATCCCCAAAACTTTTTGTTTACTAGGTTATAACTATCAATACTTATTGTATTAGAAATTACAATATTTATATTTATCAGTTATATCAATATTTATTGTACTGAAATTACAACTGAGAACATTCAAAAATATTTGTTTACTAATTCAAGTAACATTAAATCTATTATGTGTCAATGTAAGTCACAATTTAATACAAAGTTGGCACATTTTCCAAAATGAAAAATTAGTGAAAAGAGTGGCAGTGTTTACACTTTTTGCAAAGATTTTTAATGCTAGCTTAATAGATGATAGCTGGATTCTCATATGTGCTTCCCACATTTCAGCAGCCATGAAAAGCAATTACACCACCACATGTCACATAGCTTCTGGAAAACTCCACTGTACACTTGTGAAAGAATGAGAGTGAAAAAGGCATTAATGTCTTCGTATTTATTACCATGAAAATGCTTTTGACCTCAAAGATACTCCCAGAACACACTTTGGGAAAGTGGACCTAAAGGTAATGAAAAGCAAAACTAAAAGCAGAGTAAAGAAATTGATTAGTCAAGATAGAACAAGGAACTTCGTTGCTTTTTAAAGAAGAAAGCTCAAGAAAAAAATTGTATGCTGGATAAACTTCTGCACAGTTACAGTAATTTACTCAGCGTTTACTAATTCAAAACTTGCCATGATTTGGCTAACAGCTAAACTTAAGGTCATCTTTGTTTAGGTTAGTGGTTCTCAAAGTGTGATCCCTGGACCAGAAGCATCAGTGAGATCCAGGATCTTCTTAGAAATGCACATTCTCAGGCCCCGCCGCACACCTACTGAATCAGAAAATCTGGGTGGACCCCAGCAATCTGCATTTTCACAGCTGATGCTGATGAATGCTAAAGTTTGAGAACCACACTGGCTTAGATAGTCCTTCCTTCTTTCTGGAGAAAAGATCACAGAGAGAATTTTTTAATAAGAGAACAATATTTTTCTGAGTCATTAAAAATAATAGAATTATTTACTTGCAAGCAATACTTATACTGATTACAGATTCATGAAAGAGAGTCCCCTAAGGACATCTTCAAGCAACAGATCAGCTCAGCCTAAGTTATTACGACAAATATAAAAATAAACATACATTTTTGTAGTTTAGATTAGCCTTCTTTCTAAGTAGTCAGAGTTAATAGGATTGCATACTATAAATACTTTAAGGCAGGCCTACAAAACTGAAATAGAACAGATATGCTCTGGCTTGTGAAGATTATCACTACCAGGCCATGCTTCCAGGCTGTCTGCCAAAAATTACATTTGAACTGCAAATACAAAATTACAGCCTTTCCAAACACATTGATATGAGGCTCTCATGTTGTTTTTAACAAATGTTAAGTAGATATATCATGATGATCATTTTGCTATACAAATATCAAATCTTTATGTTGTATACCTGAAGCTAATATAATGTTATATGTCAACTACATCTCAATAAAAATGTTTATAACTTTACAAAATTACTATGTGATACAATACAGGTTTGTTTTACCTTGTAAACCAAATATTCAATTGTATTATTTAGTTTGTTGAATAGGTAGATGTGGTATGAAAAGATTGCGACCCCCACTTAGAAAATCTTTTCTCAAAGGATGCTCCGGATGATTGGTCATAGGAACCCACAAAATTCCCACATTAATTTTCACCACTACCAAAATCATCACGAGAGGCCAGGAATGGCTGTTCTTTAATGTGAGTACCCGAGAACCAAAGAAACTTCTCCAAACTTGTGGTGCATTTTCCTTTCTCTCTTTTTCGTTAATGACTCTCTGCCAACAAATTTGTATGTGGGCCATGCCCAAATATGCATCAGAAGACTACTAGAAACTCCTGAAATTCTGCATTAGAGATTCTGAATTTGTGATAATACCTTTGCCATATCTGACTCTGTTCCTTCCTCTAAGTTCTCCTTGAGTTGAGCTGTCTCACATTGAGGAACATAATTTTGCTCCTCACTCCTTGCAACCTGCTGCTGAAGTTTTGAGTTTTCATTTTTTACTTTGTTGATCTGCTGCTGGAGTTCTGTATTCTTAGCCTTTTCATTGTCGGATATGAACTGCAAAATTTGAACTTGAGCGACCAATTTCTCAAGTCTAGATTTCAGTTTCTGTCTTTCACCCAGGTTTTCCTTTTCATGTTTCTGAAATTCCTCCTGTAAAGACAGGAACTCTTGTTCTCGGGTCTCTTTTTCCTTTTTCAACAAGTCCAGAGCAGAAGTGGTGGCCTTTTCCAGTTCTCCTTTGAGTTGCTGCAGCCTCTCTACCTCTTCTTCTTTCTTGCTTAAGGCTCTGTCCATCTCCATGCACTGATTTGCAGCTTTATTTTTTTGTTGCATTTCAGTCATGTACCTTTCCTGTAGACTAACATAATTGCCCTTGATCTTCTTAAACTCTAGCTGTAAGGTTTCCTTTTCATTCCTGGATTCCTGAAGATGTTTTTGGGTGTTAACTAAAATCTCATGCAAATTCTGCAATGTCTTCTGTGTATCATTCTTCTCTAGCATTACTCTGTATTTGTCTTCAATTAATTCTTCAACATTCTCCTTTAGCTTATTGATGATGTCCACGAACACGTGCTCTTTAGTTGTCTTCTTCTGCAGTTCTTCAACCTTCTTCTCTAAATACATGTTACGACGCTGTAGGTCTTGGATCAGAGTTTGCTGTTCTTTGTTAGTACGCTTTAATTTTCGTAGGACTTCGTTTAAAGCCATGTCCTCTTCCAGAGGCTGTGGGCTTTCCAAGCTCTGCTCTCTGTCGGGTGTCATGCAGTCCTCCCAAGATGCTCCACCGCTCCAAGAAATGCCTGTTGGAGACCAAGTTGAGACAATCTCTGGACTCTCCCTCCCCTCCACTGCAACTTCCTTTTGGTGCCTGACTGACATCTCAGGAATATCCGTAGAATTCTGTATTCCTTTTGAAGAATGTGCAATCTGTAAATTATAGTAAATAAAATAAGTATGAAAGAGTAGAAAGGTCATGAGCTTTGAGGTCTGGCCTTGAATCCAAGATCCCTAGTTTGGTATTCTCTGTTCTGAAATAACAATGACAACATCTACTTCCAATACTGATGTCTAATTAACAAAAATACTTAAGTATTAATTGCTGAATGTATGTACAGCACCTAATAGCACAGCAGAGCACAAACAGTAGGTATATGATAGAGATATGTATTACACTTACTTTTACAGAGGAAAAATTAAACTTGGGTACTCTCACCATTTTCTATGACACAAACTTTTCTGAATACATATAACTTTCTTTGACTTCAAATGAATTAAAACAGATTTGTCCATCACCTTAGTCTGCAAAGTCTTTTTTAAAAGTTTATTTTCTATTGAGGTAACACTGGTTTATAACATTATGTAAGTTTCATGTGTACAACATTATATTTCTACTTCTGTATACCCTACAGCATACTCACCACCAAATATTTAGTTTCCATTCATCACCATACAGTTCATCCCCTTTACCCATTTCACTTATTCTGTTCATTTATTTTGAGTTTTTTCCATGTATGAGTGAAATCATATATTTGTCTTTCCCCATCTGACTTACTTCACTTAGCATAACACCCTCAAGATCCACCCATCCATGTTGCTGCACATGGCAAGATTTCATCTTGTTTATATGACAGTAGTATTCTATTGTAAACATATAAAACATTCTCTTTATCCATTCATCCATTCACAGGCACTTAGGTTGCTTCCATATCTTGGTTATTGTAAATAATGCTGTGATGAACATAGGGGTGCATGTATCTTTTCAAATTAGTGTTTTCGTATTCTTTGGGTAAATACCCAGAAGTGGACTAGCTGGACCGTATGGTAGTTTTATTCTTTATTTTTGAGGAATCTTCATACTGTTTTCCATAGTGGCTGCACCAATTTACATTCCCACCAAAGTATAGGAGGGTTCCCTTTTCTCCACATCCTCTCCAGCATTTGTTTTTTGAATTTTTGAATTTATTTTTTTGTACAGCAGGTTCTTATTAGTCATCCATTTTATGCACATCAGTGTATACACGTCAATCCCAATCACCCAGTTCATCCCACCACCCCCACCACTTTCCCCCTTGGTGTCCATATGTTTGCTCTCTACATCTGTGTCTCAATTTCTGCCCTGCAAACCGGTTCACCTGTACCATTTTTCTAGGTTCCACATATATGCATTAATATACGATATTTGTTTTTCTCTTTCTGACTTACTTCACTCTGTATGACAGTCTCTAGATCCATCCACGTCTCTACAAATGACCCAGTTTCGTTCCTTTTTATGGCTGAGTAATATTCCATTGTATCTATGTACCATATCTTCTTTATCCATTCGTCTGTTGATGGGCATTTAGGTTGCTTCCATGACCTTGCTATTGTAAATAGTGCTGCAATGACCATTGGGGTGCATGTGTCTTTTTGAATTATGGTTTTCTCTGGGTATATGCCCAGTGGTGGGATTGCTGGGCCATATCTCTCCAGCATTTATTATCTGTAGACTTTTTGATGATGGCCATTCTGACTGGTGTTAGGTGATAACCTTGTTGTGGTTTTGATTTGCATTTCTCTAACAATTAACAATGTTGAGCATATTTTCATGTGCCTGTTGGCCACCTGCACGTCTTCTTTGGAAAAATGTCTATTCAGCTTCTCTGCCCATTTTTTAATTGGATTTTTTTGTTGTTGAGTTGTATGAGCTCTGTATATATTTTGCATATTAACCCCTTATTGGATATATGATTTGCAAATATCTTCTCCCATTCGTCAGGTTGTCTTTGTATTTTGTGGATAGTTTCCTTCACTGTGCAAAAGCTTTTTAGTTTGATGAGGTCCCATTTGTTTGTTTTTGCTTTTGTTTCCCTTGCCTGAGGACACATATCCAGAAAGATGTTGCTAAGGCCAATGTCAAGGAGTATACTGCCTATGATTTGTTCTACAAGTTTTATGGTTTCAGGTCTAACATTCAAGTCTTTAATGCATTTTGAGTTTTGTGTATGGTGTGACATAGTGGTTTCTTTTTTTCTTTTCTTTTTTTTTTTTTTTTTTGCATGTGGCTATTCAGTTTTCCCAACACCATTTATTTTTATTTTTTTGCGGTATGCAGGCCTCTCACTGTTGTGGCCTCTCCCATTGTGGAGCACAGGCTCCGGACGCACAGGCTCAGTGGCCACGGCTCACTGGCCCAGCCACTCTGCGGCATGTGGGATCTTCCCGGACCGGGGCATGAACCCGTGTCCCCTGCATTGGCAGGTGGACTCTCAACCACTGTGCCACCAGGGAAGCCCCAACACCATTTATTGAAGAGATTATTGTTTCTCTATTGTACATTCTTCACTCCTTTGTTATAAATTAATTGTCCATACATGTGTGGGTTTATTTCTGGGCTCTGGATTCTGTTCCATTGATCTATGTAACTATTTTTCTGCCAATATCATGCTGTTTTGATTACTATAGCTTTGTAATATAGTTTGAAATCTGGGAGTGTGATACCTCTATCTTTGTTCTTTTTTCTTAGGATTGCTTTGGTTCTTTGGGGTCTTTTGAGATTCCACATAAATTTTAGAATTGTTTGACCTATTTCTGTATAAATATACTTGGGATTTAATAGGGACTGCATATTTGATAGGGACTGAATAATAGGCATTGAATATGTAGATTGTTCTAGGTAAATGTTAATTTTTCTGATCTATTAGCATGGAGTATCTTTCCATTTATGTCTTCTTCAGTCTCTTTCAACAATGTCATAGTTTTCAGTGTACAGATCTTTCACCTCCTTGGTTAAATTTATTCCTAGGTAGTTAATCTTTTTGTTGCAATTGTAAGTGAGATTTTCTTAATTTCCCTTTCTGCTAGCTGATTGTTAGCATATATAGGTACACCACAGATTTTTGTATGTTGATTTTGTACCCTGTAACTGTATTCATTTATTATTTGACAGGTTTCTTTGTGAAGTCTTTAGAATTTTCTATCTATAAAATCATGTAATTTGCAAATAGTGAGAGTTTTACTTCTTCCTTTCCAATTTGAATGCTTTTCATTTCTTTTTCTTGCCTAATTGCTCTGGCTAGGATTTCCAATACTATGTTGAATAAGAGTGGCAAGAGTGGGCATTCTCATCTTGTTCCTGATTTTAGGGGGATAGCTTTCAGGTTTTCAAATTTGAGTATGATGTTAGCTGTGGGTTTATATAGCTTTTATTATATTGAGGTATGTTCCTTCTATAGTAATTTTATTGAGAGTTTTTATCATAAATGGGGGTTGAATGTTGTTAAATGCTTGTCTGCATCTATTGAGATGATCATACAGTTTTTATCCTCCATTTTGCTAATGTGATGTATCACGTTGATTGATTTGCAGATGATGAACCGTCCTTGCATCCCTGGAATAAATCCCACTTGATCATGGTGTATGATTCTTTTCCTGTATTGTTGTATTTGGTTTGCTAATATTTTGTTGAGGATTTTTGCATCTATGTTCATCAAAAATATTGGCTTGCAATTTCTTTTTCTGTGTGTTGTCTTTGTCTGACTTTGTTATCAGAGTAATGTTGGCCTCATAGATTGAGTTAGGAAATGTTCTCTCCTCTTCAAGTTTTTTGAAGAGTTTGAGAAGAATAGGTATCAAATCTTCTTTGAATGTTTAATAGAATATATCAGTGAAGCCACCTGGTCCTGAACTTTTTTTGGGGGGGAAGGTTTTGATTACTGTTTCAATCTCTTTACTAGTGATTTGTCTATTCGGATTTTCTAGTTCCTTTTTTAAAAATTTATTTATTTTTATTAATTTATTTTTTGGCTGGATTGGGTCTTCGTTGCTGCACACAGGCTTTCTCTAGGGGCGGCGAGCAGGGGCCACTCTTTGCTGCGGTGTGCGGGCCCCTCACTGCAGTGGCTTCTCCTGTTGCGTAGCTTGGGCTCTAGGTGTGCGGGCTTCAGTAGTTGTGGCATGCAGGCTCAGCAGTTGTGAATCGCGGGCTCCAGAGTGCAGGCTAATAGATGCTCCACAGCATGTGGGACCCTCCCAGACCAGGGATCAAACCCATGTCCCCTGCATTGGCAGGCGGACTCCCAACCACTGTACCACCAGGGAAGTCCTTCTATTTCTTCTTGATTCGTCTTCGAAGGTTGTATGATTCTAAGAATTTGTCCGTGTCTCCTAGGTTGCTGATGTATAGCTGTTCTTAGTATTCTCTTATAATCATTTGTATTTCTGTGATATCTGCTGTTAATAGTCTCTTTTGTTTCTGATTTTATTTAGCAGAGTGCTCTCTCTTTTTTTCTTAGTGAGTCTAGCTAAAGGTTTGTCAATTTTGTTTATCTTTTCAAAGAACCAGCTCTTAGTTTCATTGATCTTTTCCATTGTCTTTTTAGTCTATTTCATTTACTTCCACTCTGATCTTTACTTTTTCCTTCTACTGACTTTGGGCTTTGTTTGTTCTTCTTTTTCTTTTTCCTTTACGTGTAAGTTTGGATTGTTTGAGGGCTTTTTTTTTTCTTTCTTTTTTTGGCTGCACCATGCAGCTTGTTGGATCTTAGTTCCCGAACCAGAGATTGAACCCGAGATCAAACCCATGCCCTCTGCAATTAAAGCATGGAGTCCTAAACACTGGACCGCCAGGGAATTCCCTGAGATTTTTCTTTTGTCTTGAGGTAGGCCTGCATTGCTATAAACTTCTTTTAAGAGCTGCATCCCTATATGCAGTATTTTTATCTTCATTTGTCTTCAGGTAACTTTTTATTTCTCCATTGATTTTTTCATTGACCCAATAGTTGTTCATAGCATGTTGTTCAGTCATGAACATTATCTGTGATTTTTCCAGCTTTCTTCTCCTAGTTGATTCCTAGTTTTATACCATTGTGCTCGATATGATTTCAATCTTCTTCCATTTATTGAGACTTTCTTTGTACCAACATATGGTGTATCCTTGAGAAAACTTCATG